CTCTTCTTCGTTCTCTCTCTCTCTTCTCTCTCTCTCTCTCTTTCTCTTTCTCGATCGATTATCCTGTAAGGAAAGGACTACTTTCAGAGAATCTCTATCATAAAACTCTTTGGAGTCAAGCAGGCGAGATAAAAGGTAAAACGAGAAGAAAATCACTCGTGCAAGATATCGGAAATCTTAATGACTCTACATCTTTAATTTAATTTTTGGATGAATTTTCGGAAAATCTTGATTAGAGAAAAATCATCATTTTGAATTACTTGGAAAATTTGTTATCAGAAGTGAAATCGAGTGTTACGAATCAACTTCATCAGTACTGACCGTATATTAAGTGGAAAGTCAACGTTCTTAATCCTTCTTATCTCCGTCTTCAGGATCCTTCAGCGTGTGCCACTGAGCGATAGGACGCCTGGGAGACGCCAACATATCGGACCAATGTCTCAATTCCGTTCCACTCGCATTATATCCCAACACCACCTTCCCAATCGGTTCTGATGTGCCGATACGATCGTAATCTACTACAGTGACGACGAGTTGTACTTTCTGAAAAACCATGTGCCAAAATATCAACATTAAAATGTAGTATATATCATTATTCTTATTATTCCACACACACACACACACACACACACACACACACACACATATTTTACTTAAAAAATTGAGCAGTACAATTTATATCAGCGTAAATGAAGAAATACAATTGTGAAAAAAGAAATTCAAAATTATGAACAATTATTACGATGAAAATATTTAAGTATATTCTAAATACAAGAGACTAATTTCTGATTGACAACAACAAGACTAATTAAAATGTTAAATAATTTACTTTGTTTACATTGCATTTAATCCGTTAGTTATTACATGAATAAAATAATTATTTTTTTCTTATAATGAGAAAAACAAAGCATTCCGTATCAATTATTAAATAGTAAAAACTTTAAAATACTTCTTTCTCCTTTAATTATCCATCTTTAATTTTCTCAATTTTTCATAATTGTTATTTATTAATTGAAATCTTGATAAAACAAACTATACTTTTTTACGTACCTGTATCTGCTCGAAGGGTACCTCGAAAGTAAATGATTCGTTGTAATACGGATTAAGAGTGCATTTCTTGATCGACGTTTTCTTCTTCTTCAATCTCTTTCCATTTTGCATCAATGCGATTTTAACGTAAGGATCTGAGAGGCCACCGACATCCATCTTCTTCAGGTTCTTGGCTTCCAGAATGACCACTGTGAGCTTTCCGGCCGTTGGTACGTATCTCAATGAGAAGCATATGTCACCCAGTTTGTTATCCTGCAAGTATCAAAAAATTCCGTCTTATATACATTTTCTGTATACAAAATATTTCAAAATTTTAACTATTATTATTTACTATCATTACTAGACTAGTTATCTTTATTTTGGCAAAAAGAAAATACATGTTCGTGGACTTATACATTAAATTCTGTATTGTTTTATTCTGTATCGTCATAGTTGTCTTAATTCTCCAATTGGACTCACCTGTCCACCTTCACCTTCAACACTCTGTAGTTCTCTCCATTCCTCAATCGTTTGCGCTAGATCAATTTGGCAGAGCGGCACTTTAACTTCGCCGATCTGATCGTGTTTCGAAAATCTGTCAAAGTCGAAGATGGCGAAGACCAGAGTTTTGTTCATGGCATCGGCATAAGGGACGCTCTGTATAAATGTGTCCATTAATAAAAATATTAGAAGAAATTACGACAATATAATTTTATTAAAGAAATAGAATAAATTAAAGAAATTTAAAATGTTCTAGAGATTGTATTTTATTTTAAAATTATTAATATTTATATAAAATTATAATTTTTCTGTATTACGTATGGAATGTATTCTGTAGGAATATTACAATTCTTAACTAACCTTAAACGTGAACGTTTCATTGAAGACCGGATTTAACGTCTTTCTGTGGACTTTTGTCTCGAACTTTTTCTTTTTATCTGGCAATAAATACACTTTTACATATGGATCTGATGTGCCACCCATGTCCAATGCCGGCAGTTCTTCCGCTTGTATTACCGTTACGGCGAGGCTGTTGGAATTAAAATCGTACTCAAGCTGCAATCAAATACGTTGATTTTTTTTAAACATTCACATTAGACATCGCACATATAACAAAAACAGTAAAGTTCAAGCAAAATCCAAGAAATAGTTGTATTAATAACGCAAAAGAATATAGAATTTAGATTGCAAATTAATTTTCCTTAGTTTATTTTAATTTTAGATAACTCGCTTATTTGATTTTTGCCATTTGATAATCTGTAATCAGTACTGATAAAGGTGCTGACAAAAGAAGACGGTCAAGGAACGGATGTGTACCTTGTACTGTAGTTTTCCGAGTTTAACTTCGCTCTGCTTACTCTCAGCCTCGTCCGGTTCCTCGGCATTGTCCGTCAATTCTTCCATATCCGGCTGAACCTTCGCATATCGAAGTGGATTCCACGAGGGTAAAGTATGTTTCTAATGTCTACATAAAGTCACGGCACACTGAATACATACCTTGTCCTTGTACGTGCTCCCCAAAAGCTGTACGGATTTTAGGTCCACCGCGCCCTTCAGTCCCTTCTTGCCGTCTTTGGAGCGTCGTTTGCGACAACATCTTCGTATACAGCAAAAGCAGATGCCGAGAACAATTATGCCTACTCCTATCGGGAAAAGAGGCGCAAAAATATATATATATATTTTAATCAAATTTCATCATAAATGATGCATATATAAATATATATATACATATATATATATATATATATATATATATGTGTGTGTATCATGCAGATCTATTTGAAGGAAACGCATGTTAACAAGTGTTCCGTTACCTATTAAAATAGCAACAAGACCCCATGTTGGTATTCCTACTTCTTTTCCTAAGTTTTCAAGTTTAGCCTCCAAGGTTTTCTTTGGACTTTCAGTTACGACCTCCTCCGTTTCTGGAAACAAGTAGCTTAAGTTAATATTTCGCGAAAAGGATCGATTATACGAAAGAATGCACGTGTCTGCATTTTAACTTCAATTAATCCGACACGCTGACAATTAAATTTTAATTTTAATTGCGATACGACGCAAAAACGCGGGATTTAAATTTATTGGCTATAATGCTTGAGGTATAAAACTGAAGGACTCACCAGTTCCTTTTCCCTCGGCATATGTAGGAAGTTGTATATCCGCCTCGGTCGTATCGATGCTGACTTCCTCGCTACGCGTTTTAGCGGTGTTTGTGTCTCTTTTGAATCTGAACGGTGGCATTTTCTGCATCAGAAAGACGTTGTTGTTATAAACTCACGTTATGCCGCGAGACAACAATTCGCTCCACATCGTTTTACGCGGTAAACGCGGCGAGATTCACTTTGCGGCGGACGATTTCCGAATCTTGTCCCGAAAATAAAGTTTCCAAAGTGACTCGAAGTGCTCGAATTAATTAATGGCGATGTCTAGCGTAGTCACCAACAATGGAGCATGACGCTACGTAAGCACCGCCACTAAAGCCGGATGCCACTCGAGATTTCGTAATCTACGAGAGCGCGCTTCCGCGCGCGCGTGTGTTTCAAGCCGCATGCGTATCTGGAAAAAAACCTGGGGCCCCGAGGATGGCGATGAATACTATTAACGAGAGCACAATACGCAAATACGATATTTGCGCGCGACGCGCGTCACACCGTTTATCGCGCGGAAAGTAGAAAATAGCATTCCGGTGTAAACAGCGGCCATTCATAAAGGGTAATCGCAGCCCTTTGCACTGACATCGGCCTTGACGCGAGACTCGAGACTCTTTTCCAAACAGAAAATGATACCAAGAGAGACCTTACGCGGCTCTTTTTCCTCGGGGATTGGACGGGAGGGATTGGATGGGGGGGGGGGTGGGAGTCTTCGCGGATTGATTTTCATTATCGGAACTCGCTCTCTCGAATTATCGCATGAATTCTGATATAGCGATGACAACGACCGAACGGATTTCGTGTCGCTTGAGTGTCCCGTCGAATCCCGCTGATGGAAAACAATGTCTCTCCGCGAAAAGGTTGCCGAGACAGGGCTGAAGGGAGGCAGACGCGATATAATAATAAAAGCGGTGCCTTACCTCGCGCATGGCGATGTATTATCGAGCAATGCGTGGGAGTTCGTCCGCGTCAATCCATAACTGACGGAAGAAATAAAGGGAGATGAGATGGGAAGTTACGATGCGAAAGGGAGAGAATTGTTGAGATTTCGTATCAAGTGCTGGGGATTAAGAAGCGAGAGGAACGAGAACTCGAAAGGTGGAACTGAAATCTGATTATGCCGGAGTGGAACACGAAATGTCTCGTGAAATGTCTCGTTCTCGGCTTCTCGATGATTTTATCTTTCGCACGCGGAGTCTCAGAACTAATTAATTTATGCATAAGGGGGGGGGAGATACACAATTTTATAAATATAATTTTGTAAAACGAGGTGTAAATGTGCCTTGCATTGCTACGTTTCGCTTTATGAGAAATTAAATTAGCCTCTTCAACTTTTTATACCATTCCTTTTCTAGCGGCACATGGAGATGGAAGCACATTCGCTTTGCTACAGTAAACGACATAACACAAAAAAATAAAGTTTTTCGGAAAATAAGTTCAAACGTTTTGAATCAATAAGATTTCATTCTATTATTTTCAAATGCGATTTCGGTATGTGACTAATATGATTAATAGTAGAGAAATAAAAGTTTCATTAGTTCTTCATTCAGTGTATTGAATTCTCATTTACTCTGAAAATAAATCCTTAAAAGCAATTTGTTTAACTTATAACTTTATGCAAAATTAAAAGTTTTGCAAGAAGCGAGTTTTAAAAGTTTAATTATACCACGTTCTACCAGTAATAAGAATTTCAGAAAGACATGTACTTTTTCGCAAACAACTCAGATATGATATAATTTATGAACTGTGTCATTATTATAGAAAATAAGCGATATATTTTTTGTATGCTTTATATTAGCTTTATATTAAGATTTTTTTCTCGTTGTATATAATTAAAATATCCTGAGATGTAGCATTTGTATTCGTCTATCGATGCTTGTCGACACAGAAGATGTCTCTGTACTTTTTTTAAGACTTGCAAGAATATAATGTAAAAACGTACTTTGTGAATGCATATACGTGATGCGTACACAAACGCGTGCAAAAATAAGTAAGCGAGATCAATAGGAATAACTTGGAAAAGGATTACTTATCCCAGATAAAATGAGAGCTCGCTCACAAGACGCCATCAGCAATGTACCGTGATAAAAGTAGGTAGCTTCTTGAATACAAAGCGCGCTCGAATAATAATACCGAGTAAATTTTTCTCCGCGGAAAAATTCGATCAAACGCTTTCGGCTTCATCAGTTAAAGAAGCCGATACGTTGTTTGAATCGACGTATAATTATTTTAAAAAGATCGCTAAAAGTTTCCATTATAAATTCAAATTAAGTTATCAATGCTTTCAACCCCCCTCCCTTCATTATCGGAAAAAAATTCATTCGCATTTTTTAATTAATTATTATACAGAATTTGAATTAGCATACAAATTTTTCGCGTGATTGACTTACCATTTTCGTCAGAAAGCGCAAAAAAAATGTCCGATGTTGAAAATTATTTCGAACGTGAAAAGAATTAATTTATCGCACGCTGCGCTCAAAGCCTGCGAAAAGTTTAAAATATTTCCGCCGTTTATTTTATAGTTAAAATCCACTCAGGCAAATATCAAATTTACCCTGGGAAAATTTATCGTTATCAATAGCACGTCCTTCGCTTTGCATTTAAAAACTGTTTCTTCCCTCTCTTTTTTTTCTACCACAAAGAAGCTCTTTGGGAAAGTGAGCTTGAACGGTATATCGTTTTTTTCTCCGATGTAAACCCGCTCTTTGATAAAAAAAGAGAAGCGAGAAAAATAATAATCAAAATGTCTCTCATTCCGTTTATAAATTCGAATCGGCCTATCGACTCGGTCTATCATCAGACACGGTTGAAACATTTGTCTGAATTTTGAACGATTAGGCTATACATTAATCGAAATATCTAAATGTGGTCTAAGCCGCCCCCATAAATGCGCGTGTGCGTGTAAGACGAGCACATTTAAAGAGCAAATCAATACAACTTGGTGCTGATAAATAGACAGCTAGCTAAATAATATCGTTCGCAACCATTACTCATATCCCTAATAAAAATTAATTCCGACAAAGTAACGCATATTGGAAACCATACGTATACAGATATTGCACTAATATAATATGTAAACTTATATATGTGCGCGCATGTGTGTGTGTGTGTGTGTGTGTGTGTGTGTGTGTGTGTGTGTGTGTGTGTGTGTGTGTATATTTTTTTCCAGTTATAGATAGAATAATATTATATTTCCATAAAATCAATAACGACACCCGAATTATCAATAATAAAAACTGAAAAGATATTAACAAGTTTGACTTGCATAGCGGTGGGGTATAGAGACTTTTATTATACATATATGACGTAATGAGAGTTTGGAAAGTTTATTATATTGATTTATCTTAATGTCTCTCACGCGTGCCTTCCCGAAATAACCGATTTGATTGAGAGTAAACTCTTACGCGATATACTTTCTCCTTCCTGCCCATCAACAGATGTTTTCCGTAAGTTACTAAAATAACGGACACTTGTCACACTTGACTTGGCAGGCACTTAAGAGCGTTGGAAAAATGCAAACGTTTATTGAAACGATAAAGTGTCATCTCACAAACAGCCACAAACAATTTATAGTCATAGCGAAAATGTCAATAAATTCTAAAGTGACACTCGAACACTTTCGGACTGTAATAGAAATTTGCTTGAAGAAGAGAAGATTTCTTGAATTAAACATTTCCCTCAGATATATAACTGTAGTTCAAAATGTTTAGACGATCTTTTTTCCGTTATTTAATACATTACAGATATAATTAAATAATAATATATTTTTCTAACGATCTTAAAATTTATGTAATTAATTTCATGTATAATCGAGAAACTATGAATGTGTTGCGCGAGCATATGTTGTGCAAGCGTTTCTCCCTTATATTTTATTAATAACAAAGATAATATTATTTTTTAAATATTAATAAAATATTATAAAAAAAAAGATAATTAATATTATGAAAAGGGGGCAGAGATGAAATGTAAATATCGACTCCGTGTGCCGTTTTTGAGAGGGGATCAAACACATGGATATGCGGAGACATGAAAAGCGTGTAAGAGAGAACGAGGTGTCAACAGTATCTTCTCTCTTTAAAATACCGGTCATTCGACTATCGACTGGCCTACATCCTTCTCAAGGACGACTTCATCATGATCGTTCTTGAAACATCCAACGCCCCTTTCATGAATGAACGTCTCCATGACCGCGGTACTATGAGCAAAAATGTTAAGTGTCAAAGGGATGAGGGGAAAAAGAACATGCGTTCCTTCACTCGGACGTGGTAAATGTAATGCAGCATTCATTTAAAAAAAAAATTAGCCGATCACCCTGCCAAAATAATTCCACGGAAATCGCTTGCGTTGCAGAAATCAGAACGGACACAAACAAAAAAGTACGCCTCGTACATTTGTGTTTTTCAATTTGCCGGTGCTCTGCGCTCTCAGAAATCAGACGAGTCTCGCACGAGTCTCAAGAGAATCGTATAAGAAACTAAAGCGACATTTGAATATCAGAGAGTCTCGACGGCGCTCGATATCGCTTCCTGCGAGCATTTGCTCAAGAAAATTTCTGCCGGAAATTTCATAATATGTGACGGCTGCCAAAATACGACTTTGTACACGACGGCATTTAACAAAATTTTCATCGTATTATTAATCGTCAAAAGTGCCTTAAAATAAATATATAGATATTTCCGTAATTTTCTTTTAAATTTCGGTTAAATTTATGTACGTCGCACACAATTATTAAAAAAATTTTTTTTAAATTATTTGAATAATGTACAATTACGGACGTATTTCAATTTCTCACACTCGACTTCTGTATCTTATCGCCCGTGCGAGTTATCATGCTGTTATTACATCATTATATCAATAATAATTAATTCCAGTAAAAATCTAGATTTAAATATAAAGAATTTGAATTAGCTTAATCTCTAAAAATTAAAAATCTAAAAATAAATTTGTCCATTTTCTGTTTTTCACGACAATCTGCATACATCTTTTTTTTCATCAGATTAAGGGTGTTTAAGAGGATTCGCAATTTTATCGTCATTTATCCGATCCTTCGACTGTTACATATGGAAACGTACAGCGAATTAGCAGGAAGGAAAGCACAATCTGGAAAAACGACGAACGAGAAGGAAGAAGGAGGAGTCTTCATTGACCAGCGAGTCGCACTTCTGAAAGCGGTAGGGAACGATTATTTCACCTCGTCGGCGAGAAAAGCGTTCACCCTCCCTTGAAATTTCACCGCTCCCGTGAAATCTGCGTGATCCTCGGCGTAGAATCTCGTCGAACGGATAATAAAACCGCGCAGTTCCAGACGGCAATCATTAACGACACATTTACACCGTTCACCGTGCCGAGCCGGGGGTGGTTTCTGATTATATCCGCGCGAGGGGTAAATCGATTTCTAATTTTACACCCGCCACACGGAGGATTTATCCCGGTAAGATGGCCAAAGGGATCTTCGTTCGTTCGTCCGTAATGGTACTACTCACGACACGGAGGCTGTCGTCGGAGGTTTACACCCTCTCTTTTTCACTCTCCTCTCTCGTCGAGCTGCGTCCTCCCCTGGGCGTTTACTCGGTGGTGGCAGCGACAGCGGCGGCGGCCTCGACTCGGCCTGTAACTACTTGCGGACTCGCGCGTTATATCGCGAGTATATCGGGCACAATCGGCTACGGAACGACGATTCTGTGCGGGCCGGATTTATCCCTCGTGCGATCGTACTAGAGGCGCATCGCGCTACGTCGTCCGCGCGACGAACGATGGCGGTGAAGAAACGGCCGGAAAAAGGGGGCGAGTATCCCTGATATCTGCCGTACACCAACGACGGTCCCTCGTCGACGACGACGACGACGACGACGACGACGGCGACGACCACGACGACGACGACGACGACAGTGGAACGGAGAGACCCGGAGTGCGCCTGACCGGTGGTGGCGAACGCGAATATGGCCGCCGACGTAAATCGATAAAACACGTTACGTTTTCCGGCGGCGTTTCGACGCGCCGTTCGGAGCCGACGCTCTGCGTCGTACCCTCGCTACCCCGCGCCCGCACCCCCTGACGACGCCGACGACGAGGTGCGAGCGACGTCATCGACGCGCGCGGACGTTCGACGCGAATAGCTTCCTCGTTCTCTTTTTTGTTTTCTTTTTTTTTTTTGTTTTTTTAATATTATTGCCATTTCGACAATGACGATGATACTATTCGATCAATGACGTTCACCGATGATTTTATATTAGTTTCGTATCGATACAGCAATGCGGTAGAAAAGGGCAAAGGGTGTCTGAGGAGTATCCGAGTAATGGAAAGACTAATAAAGATTATCCTCTTCCGATGTTTCTTTATCTGAACGTGCCAACAATTCTACGCAGCGCGAGATCTCTGATCTAGCAATTATTTTTTATTACTATTTAATTCGCAGCATTAATTAAGAGTACATTCGTGATGGTAAAGAAGATATGTCTATTATTATTTCTGTAATTGTCCCGAGAATATCGCGATCCGATATCTACCCTAGCGAAAATAAAGATCGGAATGTAAAGTAGCGTAACGTAGCGTAAGCGAAGTATGCTAGAAACGCGAATGAAGCCTTCTGTGAAATAAAAAAATTCGAACATCGGAATGTGAAAGAAGCGTTTATTTTTCTAAAGCGTTTGTTTTACCGTTCCAATTCACTGTTTACATTCATTTTTCAATCAATGTAGACTTAACTTTAATTACGATTTAACTTACTCTTCATTTCGTTTCTATTTTTTTTTAAATAAAAAAGATAAAAAAACTAAAATAAAATAAATCTACTGGTAAAAAATGAATATTGAATATGAAAGTTTCGCTTTCGTCGCACTCTTTCCTGTATTTACGCTTCGATCTTTATTTCCGCCAGGGATATATTAAACAGAGAAACAATCGCGTGCGGAAATGTCTTATCGCAGATGCAACAAACCCTCTCAATGAGGAGAACGTACACCGAGAATCTGTTGTCAAAACAGAAAGAACGTAGTCACGTTAAAATATATACACCGGTTGTATTCCGATGGGGCGCATGCCCGAATCGATCTATCATGACAGAAATCTTTCGGTATATTTGCCATATATCTCCCTGCAAAGCCGCGCTTAAATTGAATAATCCCTTCGCATACTGTAATCTAAAAATAATGATGGCGGGAGAAGGGGACTTGCAAAATAATCACGGAAGTTGAGCAATTCCGTTAGTAGCCATTTTTACGCCACTGTACACCTGGCCGAGCCATCTATCTTTCTCCTACGAAATAATGAAGAATAATTAATGGGACCCCATTTTGCGATTTGTCTTCTTGTTAAGGGAAAATCAACTTTAATTTAATCAGAGTATATCTCGGTTATATGAAACTTACACACGATATTTGTGTTGATTCTGTAAACATATCCCGCACTTCGATGTGTGTTTGACGATGATTTCTATTTGCCCGTAGTCAATTTCTGTTTCTTTCTGTTAAAGAGAACGCCATTTTATCGTTAAAAATGCACTGTATCGAATTCTCGAAATAGAAATTTCGACGACAAGATGCGCAGGGATATCGATCGCGAGATAACGCGAATATAATCCAGAATTCGCG